TTCCAAAAATAATTGTAGCCACTGAAACCTTACTGGGCAGTTCTATGCTGTGAATTGGAATCTGCTTGGTGGCAGTGGTGGGATAAAAATATGAAGCTATTTGTGTTTCTGTGGAGAGAGAAGAGAGGTTGATTTTAAGGAATTGAATCATGGGAGAGGGCAGGCTAGTAAAAAAAATCCCTTTGTCAGGGACAGACTGGAAATCCCAATTTTATATATATATTGTGTCCATAATCAGTCTTCTAGTCAGCTAGAAATTCTGCTGGGTGTCTATAGAATCCTTTCAGGAATCCTTGATTTCTGCTCTTACAGCTTTCAATATATTGGATGCAACTGATTTTATGAATTGTAATCTGCTTTACTTAAGACCAATAGATTTAAATTCTGATCACATGAATATCCCACCTCCATGACATGTAGATGAATATTTGATCAAACGCATCTCCATGACTGAGCCAAGTTGACACATAATTTTTACTGCAGATCAGGGAAAGACACCCATTTCTCACAGCCCCTTTGGAAGCTTCTAGAGCTCCCGTGAATTCAGGTGGAGTCTTGTCTTTACTTGGTGTCTGTTTGTCCTCAGCGTGCAGCTGTGGCCGACTCCTCTGCCAGGAGATGACAGGAGTGTGCCTCTGTCCACCTCGCACGGTCAGGCCCCAGTGCGAGGTGTGTGAAATGCACACCTTCAGCTTCCACCCCTTGGTCGGCTGTGAGGGCTGTAACTGCTCCAGGAGGGGCTCCGTGGGGGCTGCCACCCCTGAATGCGACAAGGACAGTGGGCAGTGCAGGTGAGTGTGGGAGTGACCTGCCAAGGGCCTGTTCCAGGGAAGGCCACATGACCTCTCCTTACACAGTACTCCTTGTTATTTTCTACCTCAGATGGTCCAGGGAATGGGGCTGTGGCTTTGGACCAGGTGGGTTATAGCTGTGTGGGGTGACTGGTCCTCTCAGTGGGGAGGAACCAGGCAGAGCTTGGGTGGCTGGATTGTTTTAAGCCACCATGATGGTAACAGGCCAGAAGCACTGTTCTGTATCCCATTCAGTCATCTGTTTCTTTCACAGTGGCTGAGTTAGTTTTTGTTAACTTGTGGTGCTCATTATCCATTTTTATTCAGCTCCTAGTGTTGTTAGCAGGCAGTTTTGTGAAGAACAGTGCAGGATGAAGTCTGGAATCCATGGTTCTGCTGCCATGACTCAGACAGGCAGGCAGCAGGACATGCCTGGAGCCTGGCCTGAGTGTGGACATCCCTCATCACGGGCACACTGTGGTCAGTGTACAGTATGCAAGAGGAGGGCTCAAGCAGATGTGTTCTTAAGAGGGTTGGTTCATGGATCAAGCTCTGTCTAGCACTGTGGTGAGCACTGCCATTCAGTGATAGAGACTAGTGTCTTTTCTCTATTTTTGGTTTTGTTTTGTTTTACTTAAATTTATTATTAGTTTCAGTAAAAATTTACAAAAACTTTGGATTTCCATTCATTCATTGTTGCATTTTTCTCCCCTCCCAGCCCTCCCCCCTAGTACACTGCCCTCTTGGAAAAGTAAAAGAAAAATTCTTTCATTGTTTTACAAACCTGCCCCCTAGGTCTACTCCACCATGTAGCCTTCGCTCTGGACTCCTATCATGACAAGAATACCTAATCACATATCCCTTTTAAACAGTTTTCTCCCTCATCTGTTTCAATGCAATATACATTATTGAACCCATCTTTCTCAGTCTCCCCCCAATGCCGAGGTCAGTCCTGTTTTACAACAGTGGCATCATGCAGTATTTGTCCTTTTGTGACTGGGATACTTCACTCAGCATAATGTCCTCCAGGGTCATCATTTTGAATAATATTGCATGGTTTTCTTGTTTTTCAATGCAGCATAGTATTCCATTGTGTGAATATACCCCAGCTTCTTTATCCATTCATTTGTGTCTTTTCAATCCAAGTCGCCAGTCTAATCTCAGTAGGATTGGCGGGGACAAGGAATTCCTCTCAGTCTCCTAGAGAGAGAGGCTGCCAAGAATGTCATCTGTGATTACATCGAAGGAAAACTAAGCCAGGGCATGTGGCCTCCTGGCCAGGATAGCCATGTGGAGAAGGTAGCATGGGCTCATTCACCCCACCTACTGGCCCTCACCCCTACCCAGCTGTGTGGTTTCTTGGCATCTAGAATCTCTTATTTGGCTGTGAGGTCTCGGGGGGGTCTGTGGCTGTTGGTGGTACACGCAGAAACTCTGGCTTGAGGGCAGCAGGGTTTGCTTTTTCTGAGGAAGGATCCTTAACCACACCTTTCATTATTGTCTGGTGCCTCACCACTATCATATGCTACCAGGACTTTGGAAGGCGTTTCAGAGAAAACTTTAGTCATGAAACATTCCAAGTTTCTAAACCTGCAGGGTGTGTGGGTGTGTGTGTGTGTGTGTGTGTGTGTGTGTGTGTGTGTGTGTGTGAGTCCTTGCTGAGTCAACTCAGTTATCATTAAAATACAAGCTTAAACTGAATGTTTGCTGGAAAGTTCTGCGGGGACAGCTGCAGAGTTTTTTGAGCTCCTGGGAGTCAGCACAGATTCTAATGAAGGTTCTGCTCAGTCTAGTGCTCAGTATTCTCTGGAAGGAAGTCAGTTTCTTGACTGAATCCTCCCTTATACCGGATGGACCCAAGTCCTGTGCGTGACAGTGTTAACTTCTTTCTAGAAAGTTAGCTAATGTAGGAGGAGAATGGCATCTAGATGGAAACAGGGTCTACCAGGGCCTGGGATGGTTAAGCAGTAAATTTGAACAGTTGAACAGACCATGTCTCAGAGAAGCTTGAAGTCATAGAAAAATATGGAAGAGTTGAAGGTTAAAATTTTATACATATATAATGTATAATTAAAATGATATATAAATTAAATATATAATTAAAATTATGTATATTTGATGTTGTTGTTGTTGTTATTATTGAGTCAGAACTGACCAATGGCTGACTATCCTTCTCCCCAGAGCAGCTGGCAGATTCAAACTACATGCCTCCAGGATTGCAGCACAGGTTTTTACCACTAGGCAACCAGATCTCCTTTACATATATGTATATGTGATGCAAAATCAGCCCAATTACTTTTATTGGTAAGAGAAGATGAAAAAGATATATGTTCTTTTGACTTCAGAGTATCTTGGAGAAGATGCAACCAGAGTGCTTTTTGGAGGTAAAGGTAATGAAGCTTTGCCCCACATACTTCGGGCCTCTTACTAGGAAGGGCTGATCCTTGGAGAGGAACATGATGCTCAGAAAGGCAGAGGGTCAGTGAAGAAGGAGAAGACCCTCAACCAGGTGGATTGACACAGTGACTGCCACAAAGGGCTCTGATGTGTCAGGAAGTATGACTATGGCACAGGATAGGATGGGGTTCAGATCTGTTGTTCATAGGGTCACTCTGAGCTGTACGGCACCTAACAACAACAACATGACTTCATTGGTGATTCAGATGCTCTTCTTCAGGGAAATTGCCTCCACTCCCTGTTTCTTTGGTCCAAAGAGCCCTGGACAAAGGGCAGTGCCTTGTAGATTGGGAGCCATCATTTGGCTTTGATGCCTAATTTCACCAAGGTCTTTGGCATTAGGTACACAGGTCAAACCCGTCAGCTACACTATGGGAGAGGGGTGGGCACTTTTCTCCCTTAAAGCTTTACAGCCTTGGAAACCCAATGGAAGGGCAAAGGTTTACTACCTCGGGAACCCAATGAAAGGGTAAAGATTTACAGCTTCAGAAATCAAATGAGAAGGTAAAGGTTTACAGCCTGAGACACTCAATGGAGAGTCCTGGTCAGCTTGATGGGGGTGGGCCTTAACTCTGGGCTCTTCTCTCCATTTCATGGCATTGTGCTTGCTCTCATTATAGCTTCTTTCATCTGCTGGCACCACTGTCATATTCAGGACTAACACGCTGTTGTATTCAGGGATAATATGTTCTTCATCTCATCCTTTTCTGCCTCTCCCATAACTTTCCTCCCTCAGATAGCAAATATTTCATAGTCATTGCCCATTATTCCCTTGCCAATTCCTTTCACCCTTTTTTGAAATTGGTTTTAATGAAATAATTCTTCTATTTTATAACACTAATGACATTGATCAATGCCATTTATAACAGCCCATCAACTCCTCATTGTACCCTGACTTTCCCTTCACCCCACCCATTCACCCATTAGTCTCTGCTTCCCTCTCCTTCACCTCCCATCCCTGTCAATTCACCATGATTATTATCTGTATAGAAACCTTTTCTTAGCTTTCCTCCTCCAATCAATTACGCAAATCTCATTCCATAACATTAGTTATAATACAGACAATAGAATGAATGGACTTCTTCCTTTCTAAGTTCTTATAGGTATTAATTTCTCTTTCTAGAAAAACAAAAATATTTATTGGTATGAAACGAATACATTGATCATAACATTAGGTATCAGAGTTCCAGAGTATTTTAAAATAAAATAAATGGTTTCTGAATGGAAACACCTACAAGGATAAGATGATGAGAACATTTTTCCCCTTGATATCAAGAGAGAAACATTGACAAGAGCTGCTATCTTGGGTTTGAACCGCTGGTTGTAACAGAACGAGTACATCAGTAGTCCAAAAACAGACAACCAGGCCAGTCTGCTGCTATTATAACACTTCTAAATTCCTTTGTCTAATGCTTCAAACCCTCAAAATTCCCTAGTGCATCTACCAGAGCAAATTAAATTGTAGAATTAGGCATGACTTCAATGAAGCAAAGCCAGAATCTTATGAAAACAAGAAGCAGAGTGAATTAAGAGTAATTGTTTTCATTTTTATATCATTGAAAGACAAATAAAAAAAATGAAACGCCTTGATGTGAAGTTGATTTTCAGAGATATTTCAGAAAAGGAAGACTGTCACATGATATAGGAAGAGCAGGTGCTCTCAACATTGTGTGGACACACAGGAGGGAAGACCAGGTTCAGGTCCTTGGTGATACCTGTGCTTTCAGTCATGGCCTAAAAGGAACCAAGAACGTTGTCTGAAATGGAACAGCCAAATGTTTGCTCCTAATCGGTGGGCTTTCTTTTCACCCTGTTGGAAAAAGTTTTTGATAAGCACAGATTTAATCTTTAGAAAGTTCCATTCATCAATTTTATCCTCTCCAGATTGTGCATTTCTGGCTATATTTGGCAGTTTCTTTGTACCATAGGCTAAGCATTTATAAGCTTGGTTCCAGTTTGTCTCTTATGAACCTTATGGTTTGGGGCTTTACTCCCAGGTCTCTAATCCACCTTGAGTTGATTTTTGTTTATGATGTGAGATGTGGATCCTGTTTCAGCTTTCTGCAGGTAACAGTCCAGTTTTGCCAGCACCTTTTGTTGAAGAGGTTGTCATTTCCCCATTTGGTAAGTTTTATTTCCTGTCAAATATCAGTTGACCATTGGCAATAGCATTTCAAAGAAGGGTCTCATAACAAAAGTTTACAGAATATGACTAGGCCTCCAGAAGAAAAAGATGGATAAGTCAATTACAAAATGGGTAAAAGACATGGAAAGACTTTTCACGGAGGAAGACATTCAGATGGCCAACAGACACATGAAGAAATGCTCAAAATCACTGGCAATAAGAGAGATATAAATCAACACCACAATGAGATACCATTTCACCCCAGTAACAGTGGCAAAGTTTAATAGAGCAAAAAGCAATAAATGTTGAAAAGGATGTGGAGAGGTGGAACCTCTCATACACTGTTGGTAGGATTGTAAAATGATACAACCGTTCTGGAAGACAGTTTGGTGTTTCTTCAAAAAATCGAACATAGAAA